CCAAAAACAAAAATAAAAGAAGGTGAGGCACAAGGGGAAGAGAAAACCACTCAGCCACAGGATCTTATTGTAATTAATCATACTACATTATATATATTTATAATCCAGGGGGGCACATGTCCCTGTCTCAACGTGCATCCGTCCGGTCTAAATATATAATGAAATTTCTAAAAATAAAAACAACTAAATGTCTTTCTAAATTTATAATTAAGGACTTGTTTGGTAACATTCCTGTTCTTGTTTATGTTCCTTTCTTTTTAATAAAAAAAATGTGTTGCATGGTTTCAACTTTTAAAAATTCAAATATGATAAAAACAATATTTTTATTTATGTTTTAGAACAAATCGGAAATGGAAACAATAAAACATTTTGATTGTTACCAAAATTTCTATACAATTGTGTGAATGTTCACAAGAGAGAAACAAGAAACAAAATTAAAGTTAGTAGTAAAATACTTAGATTTCTTAAGAAAACTGGAAATGAGAAACAAGAAACGGGAACGTTACCAAACGAGCTATAACATTCTCTATCTTCATTCGCACCAATGTTACAAAATATGTATGAAAAATTGCATCAACTTTTGTTGTAGTATAAGTACAAAAATAAATTCAACATACCAATAGATCGAAGATTGTTCTAAGTCAAACACACTTAAAATTTAAAGTTCTTAGGATTGAAKTATTGAAAAGGAGAGTGCACTGGGCACTAGAAAATTGGGTTTAGTGACATAATTGTGATTAAGAAATATGAATATAAAATGTGAAACTGCCAAAAAGTGTTAATATCCTTTTTTTTCTTTGACACAAAATATCCTATTGTCTCTTTACCATTGATAAGAAACAGAATTTTTGTAGAGAGATTTTCCATTAACTCATTTATGAAAGAAATGTGGAATCCATCAAAAGCTTAGGTGTACTGAATCTCTAATAATAGAATTAATTTCTAAATAATATGAAGCATAAAAAGCATACCAGACGGAGATAAACATTTTCGTTAGAACTAATATATAAAATTATTTTTGTACGAAGTCATGACTTCTTGATGAAAGCAAGTATCAATTATTGTTAAGTTAAACTCGATGACTTTACAACAAATGGATGAAAAGATTCGAACTCATGACTTCTTGATGAAAGACAGATATCAATTATTGCTAAACTTGGACGACTATATAAATAAATTAGTGGTAGATATAAAAAAAAGAGAAAGGTCATATTTACAAATAGTTTTGGTCATCAATAAATTTGCATTAGCCACCGTTAAAGTTTTTTCCTTAAATCAACTCACAGAAAATACCCATTCTCACTTGTCTTGTTTCTTAAGCCGTGTAGGCATGAATGTTACGTGGCATTAAGTTTCTAATTCCAGATCCACCCTCAATATTATCATATTTACAAATACTTTTCCTCATCAATAAATTTGTAAATATCGTTAAAACGAACCTAACTCAACGGTTATTGATATAGAGTCCTAATTTATTTAAAATATTAATGGAAGGTGGGATTTCTGTCCAAATGTATTTTTGAAACGTTTATGAAATTTCAATAATAATATTAAAACTTTTGAAAGAAATCACTTGTCTCCTCCCTTCAAACTTTCTATTCTCTTTTGTTTCTCTATCCCATTGTTTGTTGGTTATGTGTTATCCTTCACCTACCTTCAACGATATCTTGTGTAAGTCACCTTGATCACATTTTTAATGAAAAATTATTCAATAAGACTACCATAATATTGTAATCGTCTCTATCGAATAAAAACGGTTGGATGCATGTTAAAAATTTGCATACCCCTTGATAATTAAGATATATAGATTTGAAATACTTTTTATAATTTCTCGACAGGTAAAATTACCTGTCATGGAAATCTCCTCTAATATATTGAATTGAGATCTTGACCGATGCTCGTTTGAATGGGCTCATGAGATTGTATTTTAAAACTAATTGGCAATGAGAGAGATAGTCCATGTCTATTATAATACGATGTCCCTTTTTCTTTTCAACGTGGTATCCTTAACATTGATATCACGGTTTCTCTTTCACATTTTTGTTTTTGTAAAGAATTCATGGATATCCAAATGAATTAAAGTCATCTTTATCTTGCAATCCTCACTCATGCACTCGGCATTCACACAAATTATAAATATGGCTCGAAGAACATGCAATCTCTCAAACCACACCACCAAAAAGAAAGAAAAATGGATCCAAAATCCTCAAATCTGCACCAAATTTGGCAACAACTTGTTGAAGGTCCATATGGAGCTACAATTCACTTCAATAATCCCATCTCTTTTCCTCTCATCTTCCTTCTCTTCCTCTTCTTCCTAATTTTACTCAAGCTCTTCAGAGCCAAAAACATCAACTTATTGCCCCCTTCACCACCACAACTCCCAATAATTGGTAACCTTCACCAAATAGGAGCCCTCCCACACCTTTCTCTGGCCACTCTTTCCAACAAATATGGCCCTATAATGTTCCTCAAACTAGGCCACGCCCCAACTCTCATAATTTCATCTGCAAAATTAGCTAGAGAAGTCATGAAGTCCCAAGACATCATATTCTGCAACAGGGCCCAAAACACCGCTGCAAATCACCTCCTTTACGGTTGCCACGACATCGCTTTCGGCTCCTGTGGAGAGTTGTGGAGACAAGCCAAGAAAATTTGCGTTGTTGAGCTCTTAAGTGCCAAAAGAGTGGACTCTTTCCAGCACGTGAGAGATGAAGAAGTTGCAATACTTATCAAGAGGATTCGTAAAAGTTGTGATTCTTCTTCTTCGACAAATCTTAACAAGTTGTTACTGGCAACTATCAACAATATAATCTCGAGATGTGTTTTGGGAGAGAAGTTTGAGGACGAAAATGGAGACAGCAAATTTGGAGGGGTGACGAGAAAGATTATGGAGTTATTGACAAGGTTTTGTGTTGCGGATTTCTTCCCTGGCTTTGGATTGATTGATGTGGTGAGAGGATTCATCGGAGAACTCGAAACTACTTTTAAAACAATGGATGCGTTTTTTGATAAGGTGATTGAAAAACATAGGGAAAAGATGGGAGAGAGTGATGATAAATCTGATGAACAGGACTTTGTGGATATCATGCTCCAACTGCAACAGAACAAAACATCCGATTATCGTTTCACGAGGGACAATCTCAAAGCAATTTTACTGGTTCTCTCTCTCTCTGGCTTGATCTCTTTCTTGCATGCATACACACATGTTATGTTGGTTGAGTCTGAGCCAGATTTTTCAGTTTTCCCGATGCTTTTTGGCTTCGGGGAAGGCTCCAAATTATGAATACTCAGATTTATATCTCTTACTGCCAAATTTTTAATATAAATTTAGTAATTTTTGAACTCTGAAAAGTTTTCGATATGATTCTTAAACTTCCAATGTTTTTTTTTTCTTTTTTTAAGTAAACTTCCAATGTTATGTCTAATAAATCTCTAAACTTTGAAAATTAAAGTATATATATTCTCATAAGTCCCTAAATGTTGAAGGGTATTGTTTATTAAATTTGGAATCTATTCGGACCTAGTATATACAAAATTGAAAGTTAAAAAACTTATTAGACATTATTTAAAGTTTAAGATTTATTAAACAGTATAAAAAATTTAGGAGCTCTTAAAAATTTGAAAAGTAAAAGTACACATATACCTGGGTTAAGGTCCCTGGTATTGTTCTCATTCGTGTTTGAGGGGTTAGATATGTTTGGGGTACAACTGTCCATAACCCTGAACACAGAATCTACTACTTTGATATCATGTTAAAGATGAATAAACCAACATACAACTTAAAAACTTAAATTGATGGATTGAGTCAATTTAATTCATATACGAGTTCCAACACTTATATATAATTTACCCCATAATTTTTATTTGGAATTGGGTCAATAATATGTTGTCCAAATTGGCAGGATATGTTTGTAGGTGGAACCGACACAACATCAGTAGGTTTGGAATGGACAATGGCAGAACTAATAAAAAACCCAACAATCATGAAGAAAGTCCAAAAAGAGGTAAGAGAAATAGTTGGAAAGAAACCAAAAATTGAAACGAAAGACACTGAAAAGATGGAGTACATGAAGTGTGTGATAAAAGAATCTCTAAGATTACACCCTCCAGCTCCGCTGTTGGTGCCACGAGAAACGTTGAAAATCGCAAACCTGGGAGGCTACCAAATTCCATCAAAAACCAACGTTTGGATCAATGCTTGGGCAATACAGAGGGATCCCAAGATCTGGGAGAGCCCAAACGAGTTCATCCCGGAAAGATTCATGGGGAAGAATTCATTTGATTTCAAAGGCCAAGACTTCGAGTTTCTTCCATTTGGGAGTGGAAGAAGGAAGTGCCCTGGAATTTCGTTTGGGCTTGCTTCTTTTGAATATGCATTGGCCAATCTTCTGTACTGGTTTGATTGGAAGCTGCAGGAGGAGATGGCCGGAGAGTTGGATATGAGTGAAGAACATGGCCTCACTGATCACAAGAAAATTCCCCTCCATCTCAAACCAACACCATTTAATTCTATGTAATTTTAATTTGGGTGTTTCGTTAAGCAATTTGGTGTTTGGTGTGGCTGTGTTGCGTGAATTGGTCCTAATAGATTATTTATGAAGGTTGTAACTTTTTTTCTCTTCTTTTTAGTTTTTAATTGGAACGAAATAGATCTAATTATCACTAAATTATGCTTGTTCTGACTTCTTTTTTCTCTATGCTTCTTTTCCATTCAAAAGACATCATTCTTTCTTATTTCTAATTTTTTCTTTTAGAAAAGAAAACATATATGATAACTTAGGTTATGTATAATTTTCTCATGGAAGACAATAATTTTTAGCTTTAGAAAAAAAAAAGGATTCTCTAGAATTTAAAATTAAAAAAAGTACGTAACATTTTATATGAAAATTAAAATTTCAAATAAATATTCCAAAATTTTAAGTTTTATTAAGGGAAATTGGATTGGATAGCTAAATTTTAATATATATTTAAAAAAATGTCAACTTTTTTTTTTTGAAAAAAAATAAAATTTCATTAAAAGACAAAAATCACTTGAACTACATTTGAACTCGGATAAACATCTTAGAGATTAAAAGGGCATTGAGAAAAGCTTGAAGACAACAAAATAGAGGAGTGAGATGAAATTGCTTATTTTGATAAGCAACCTGACAAAGAGTTAAGGTCCTCTTTAACGTGCACAACAACCACTTCCTTTGGACATTCTTTGAACCAAGTCTTCTTCTTTCTCAAAATAAGGTGATTCGCTTCTAGGCAGTCCGATTCATGGACCACTTTGGTGAGATATAGAATTTGAACGAGAAGGAGGCCTTCATTTATTGTTAATCGTTCCACATCCAAAAATTTGGACATAGCATAGGAGATGTTGTTGACCCTTTCTTGCACCAGTATACTACTGAACCCTGACCTCTTACTTGCTTTCAAAAGAACATAACTACTACTAGTAACACGCCATAAATAATTAATCCATTTCATACACTTAGTTTCCATATGGGGATTTTTGTGACTCAAAGAGTCACATATGACTCGAAATGCCTTTGGATTCCTCAAACCTCAGGCATTCCAACGTACTATTTTCATGTCGATCGGCAGGGCTGTCTAACAACCTCTATCGATATAAGTTTAATATCAACTTCTGTAACACGCTCCTCTATAATCAGCTTGTGACTTTTAAGAGTCTCCTATTGCCAATGATATTCCATATGGGGATTTTTGTGACTCTGTTAAGATCTCTCATTAAATGCACCGTTTCTTTTATATGTTGTTATTTGTCTTTTGTACTATTATCTGTATTTTATTATTATTTGTTCAGTAATGTCGGTTTGTCAATTGTTTAAGTAACAGTTAGAACCCACTAAGTTAGTGCTGTTGTAGTTAGTGGGTTTACGAGGTTAGTGTTTCTAACTTCCCGTGTGTATAAATCGAATTGTATCAATAATGAATGGTAAGCTTTTCAAGACAATTCCTTTGATTTGTTTCCTCTCCGTCTAGTGCTCCAGTTTCGTTCAAATTTTCACTTGGTATCAGAGCCATCACAGCAAACGCTTTAATGGCCACCGAGGAAGTTTCTTCTGCTACTCAAGGAAATACTATAGCAAATCAGCAGAATAGTGCATCTGTAGTTTCCTCTTCTTTTGGTCATCCTTTGGGAACTGTACTCACTGTGAAGGTGGATGACAAGAACTATTCATTGTGGAGAGGTATGGTACTAGCAGTACTTCGTGGACAAAAGGTGGATGGTTTTGTCTTGGGAACAAGACTACAA